TGATATGTAGTTGCAGAGTTACTTATCAACAGCTGTCTGAAGGGTACCATCAAAATAATCAAACTGATATTAAAAATAAAAATAGTTAAAAGCAAATGTGCCATTACACATTCATCTGATCTGATATCTGATCTTATGGCTGTTTGAGAGAAAACATGTCATTATTATTATTATTATTACTACTTATAAGTGGTCTTTAAGTAAAGTAGCATAAGAAAAATGGCAAGATATGAGACTTATAATACATTACTATGTATCATATACATAAACTATGAGAAATATAATCCATTGTAAAAGTGGATGCAACGTGTTCATTGTGTTATAAATCATATTCTTAAAAGCTATAACCACAAATAAGTAAATATTATAATATATTAAAACTGTTCTTATGAATATTCATGAGATGATACAACATATTATAAGGTTTTTTATAATGCATTATGCATTCATTATAATGCCTTACAAATACCTTTATAACGTATTATAAATACAGGCTTCATAGAAAGTTTTACCAAATATTGGTCTGGGATACCTTGTGCATAGAATTTTCCATTATATTCAGCACAGTTTATACTGTGAATCTTTCTGCTTCATATGGACGTTTCTTCCTCTTGCCATACATTACAGTTCTGAAACCCATTTAAAGCCACTAACTGATCTGGCACCGAACTCTACACCTAACATCAGTGGTTTTTGTGGCCCTTCACAGGGACTCTCTCTGCCTCCACTCCGTTCTGTATGTGTGTGTGTGTACGTGTGTGCGCGCGCGTGTATGTGATTGTAGAGTGATAGACAGCTTGTTACCCTCAACCTGAGGCGGCGCCTCGTTAACACAACCCTTGGAATATGGACATAATGAAAGAACCTGGCAACACATCTCACTCGCTCTATTAGCCTCTCAGTTTCCTCTCTGGGAAACTGCTCAGGGCCTCCATTCAGAGTGGCCACACAAAGGGCCCAATTCTTTAAATGCTAGACAGGCCCACGGACAGCTGGGTAGAAAATGTCACACGGTGCGTGGAATGCCCATTATCAGACACACTCATTTGTTCTCCGGGCCCTCCAAACCCTGTCAATCTCCACATCCCCCTTCCCGTCAGCCACACACACAACCTGATACCGAATTGACAAATCGAGCCTTGCGTCTGTGACAGAATATAATAAACTCGGGAAAGGGGGAGCGGCGAGTCCACTCCGTTCTGCCCAATCTAATTGGTTTCGACATCAAAGATGTCAGTCAACGCTAGACTTCCCTTTTAGACAGTTTCTCTCACTCTCTCTCTTTCTCATTATGCCAATGGTCCCATTAAAAGAGCCGTCAGTTCCGTGCACTGAGGGATTTGGTGGAAGTCATAATTAGTGATTTCATTTGACAGAGCAGTTCTGTCTCCATTTAGTTTTTAACACCCCCAGGCCACATTTTTCACATGGAGTTGTCTCAACCATGCTGATCAGCATAGGTGCACCTGGTCTGAGATCCAAGCTGTCACACTTTCGCTATTGTCTTTTGTACACTGTGTTCATAGATGGCCTCAGGGGTTGAGTGCATTTTGCTGAGGTTTTACCAACTAATTGACACTTCCATTCAAACTTGGTTAATAAAGATGCTGACGAATGAGCGAGCTAAATATGCAATGCGAAATTCTAGATTATTACCACGTGAAATTTCAGGGTTGTGAGCCATTCAGAACTGAACTGAGGATGTCTTTTAAATTATTATTCCTGAATTTTAATTTGAGGAAGCAAACGTGCAAATTTGAATTTGGAAGTAAAATTAAAATTAGTTAAATATAACTGTATTGTTTTTTTAACAACAATACGAAGTTTATCAAGACAAAGATGTTAGCTTGACGAAGCTTTGTCTGAAAAAGTAGTCTAGAATGTTTTTGACAGGTTGTAGATAATAGATAGATAGATAGATAGATAGATAGATAGATAGATAGATAGATAGATAGATAGATAGATAGATAGATAGATAGATAGATATTTAAATAAATGTTATATATATACACATAACATTAGAATAGGCAACAAAGCACCCGGTTTCCTTTCATTTGAGCACTCAATGATACTGGCAATAACGATACATATGTACAATACTTATATATACAATATATACAATACTATGTATATTTGCACATAGCCAGTTGCTAAATTCCACATGTAATATACCTTAGAGTATCACAGTTAGATCTAAAACTCCCATTGCATTATGAGGAACTGTCAATCACTTCTGTAATACTTTTACATCCACTGTCACTTTCTGAGAGTCATGGGCTGTGAATAAAAGTGTTGTATCTTTTCCTGTGGGATTTAAATATTGCAATCCATCATGTGATTCTGCCTATATTCTGTATTTCTCAATGTAGATGAATTTGAAGAATGTAATTAGATTTTTCTTTTTCCGTTTTTGTTCTAGGGTGAAAGGTAATAAAGATATAGCTATACTGTGATATATAGCTTATCTAACCTTACAGGGCTACGTCCCTAAAGTTAAAAAGGCTTAGGTCTGACCTGTTTGACCTTATTTGGAGCTCCTTTAATGAGTGATTCTGTCTCAGAGTTTCAACACTCACTGTACCATACAAACGCCAGTTGATTGGCAGTTTGTGTGTCTATGTGCAGCTTGTCTATCCTAGAAGCATCACCACCTGCTGTTGCATGACTGCTTAAGCTCCTGCCCCATACAATTTGACATTCAGAGTGACTACCGAAAACATCAATAAATAAATAACTCAGACAAATAAATCCATAGAACTACTCATTTGAAGGTTCAATGAAATGCTTTGTGAATGTAATATGCTGTGGATGCATTTCAAATGTAAATTATGGTATTCTAACACATTTGGTTTTCCATCTTTTCCGTCTTAATTTAGACGCTGGTTCTACAGGCTCACAGCTGGACTTTTTTTTGCCACTCCACTCACCCTCTTTGCCTCTCCGTTTTTTTTTTGTTGCCGTTCAGACGATATTCAAGCGGCAGGTTGTGAGAAATCAACGTGTTAGGCCTCAAGTTCATGTGGCAGAGCTCAATGGCATAAGCCATCCAAACACTATTACATCAATTGGCTAAGTCAAGTTTCCTTCTCATGTTGGCACTGTCTGTGTGATTGGACATTAGACACTATCTGTTTCCTGATTCATAATGTATTATATCCTATGAGAGGAGACATCCATTCTTCAGACCCTGATGTTTAATTCAGATCGTTGGCTTGAATCACAGTACCTTGTCATATGTGAATCCTATAAGAAGTTAGAGAAGAGACATGATTACAGTGTGGTGCTGGAAGACATTTATGTACTTCATGTAGCTATAGCAGCTAGTGTTGTCTTTTAAAAATAATTATACTAAACACACTGCAAAAAAAAAATTTTTTTCAGGTAAAAAATATCTACAAAATGAAAAGCAAAATTACATAAGATTAACATTTTTAGATTAACATAACATTACATGTTTACAAACATTAGAGTATAAATGTATTTTGTCCTACGGCAAACTACTATTTATACTTTAAACAATTCAAAATTTTGCCAAAGCAATAAGAAAAAATACACTTATAATAATAAAAATAACAAAATAAACAAATGCACTTAATATAGATTATGCAGTTTTGCATCTCTTGTTTCAAGGAGTTTTGCATATTTGTATAGGAAACAAGTCAAAATAATATTAGATATTTTAACTGGAAAAATGTACAAAAAATATCTGCAAATGGATTTTATTTTATTTGATAATGTAAACTTTAAAATAATAATAAAAAACGTCTCTTCCCTAAAAACATAATAATAATAATAATTGTATTGTTTATTTATTCATTTACTGGAAAGCATGACAAAAACGCTTATTAATCAAATATTATTTTTGCAGTAAGGCAGGGGCACCTTTTATTATACATATTTGCTTTACCTTTAAAGCAGATATGTATAATAATTTTATTATTTAATATCTAAAAAAATTCAATTAAATTCAGTTCAAGTTTATTTGTAAAGCGCTTTTTACAATACAAATCGTTGCAAAGCAACTTTACAGCAAATTAAGTTTCTACAATATTTAGTATCAGTGGTGACTGTCAGTTTATGTACATATGGCAGAAATGTACGGAAAAATCGTAATCAAACAGACGATGAACACTATTAACAGCAATTATTATATGATGCAATCAAACTTATAGCAAAATCTGGTAGTTCTGTATGTTGTTTCAGGGCTGGCATCAACTGAGGTCCTCTGAGGGGTTTGCATCATCTCTCAAACATATCAAACATATCAACATCAAAATCAAACATATGTTTGCATTTATGGAAGAGGATGGATGCTAAGATGTTTTAGAGGGGATAACTGGGCTAGATAATTGATATAGCTTGGCAATGCCTGACACCACTCTTTTCCATTTCAGGTGGAAATCACTGTTAAGGGCTGACCGGCCTTTGACACTTTCTATCACTCACAAGTGCTGTATTAAGTGCTGTAGTGACATGCGACAATACAGATCCTTACAGCATCTGTGTTTGCACCAGTACTTTGGGGTCAACAGGGTTTCACATACAAAGGCCATAATATTTACATATACAGTGTGGATTACGACATGATGGCTGCGAATGTGAACTCCTTAGCTTAAACCAATGCACTCAATTAAGCATTTGTCATAAATTAGTGCACTTGAAAGATTTATGGATTACCTTGGAACAGGTTTATATGTAAGCTGATCGCATGGCGTTAGCAGGTCATCGCTCATTACAGTAATCCCTGATCATTTGTTTGAGTCAGACAGAAACAAACAGGTTCAACCAATCCAAACACTGAATTACAGGCTAAATAGAGGTCATAGGTCATCAGCATCTAATTGGATCCAGCACAGTGAACTACGGCAAACCATAGGCAACTTTCCAGTAGGTAATACCTGATCATTAAGCTCATTTATTTTCCCACAAAAGCTTGAGCCACGAGGACAAATCCTATCACTACTGGGCATTTGCTTCTTTGAGATACCATGACCACTTTAGCCCCGTGCATTCATCTGGCACACCTCAGTCACGCAATTTCGTTTGACGTCTGGTAGGGATCCCAAGGGCAGTTCACATCTACAAATTATACATATCAGAGCGCTCACCTCTCATCCCCGGCACTTTCGGATATCCACCCGTTAATTGTTGTAATGTAAAGATTTTCACATGTGAATTGTTTTCAATCTATACATGCCCATGTGCGAATTTCTGTTCCCATTTGCAGATTTGGATTGTTCTTCATCCATGAACTATGAGTGTGAACAGGAGATCAAAGGCCTATATGGATAGCGAGCTGTAAAAATCACATATCAAGTGTTCAGAATAAAAGAGAGGTCCAGACATTTAGACAGAGGTTGAATGATTATAAACGTGAAAGTTTGGACACCAATGCACAGCATTTGCATATGAAACATTTTAAACACTATTTCATTTCGTATTCATAATCAAAGACTTTAAATCTATCAGAATTACACATTTTCAGTGTCCAAAAGAGCCACAATCAGGTGTCAAATCAAAACATCTCTCTAAGAAACAGATACAAATAAAATGCAATGTTAGATACACAGCGCCCCCTAGTAGAGAGTGTGGTAGTAAATGTTGAAGTATTGCTAAGCACGCACAGCAGTTTTAAATCATGTCTATCATAAGCAATTTTGAACAGGCCTAAAACTAATGTGAGCATTTTTACTCCATTTAAATGATTTAGAAATATATAAATATATATACTCCATGCACACACACACACACACACACACTCATGTCTGGTTTGCTATCCTTGTGGGGACTCTCCATAAGCATAATGGTTTGTATACTGTACATACTGTCATACTGTTTGTAGGCCTAAAACTAATGTGAGCATTTTTACTCCATTTAAATGATTTAGAAATATATAAATATATATACTCCATGCACACACACACACACACACACACACTCATGTCTGGTTTGCTATCCTTGTGGGGACTCTCCATAAGCATAATGGTTTGTATACTGTACATACTGTATATTATATTGCCCTACACCAACCCTACCCCTAAACCTACCCCTTACAGGAAACTTTGTGCATTTTTAGATTTTCAAAAAACTTCATTTTGTTTGATTTATTAGCTTGTTTACCTGTGGGGACCTCAATTTAGGTCCCTACCGTGACACGAGCCCCACGAGTCTGTGTGTATTCAGGTTTAAGTCCCCACCAGAATAGAAAAACAGGAACACTTACACACACACACACACAATAAAAGTATAAAACAGTATTTACTCTATGCGTTTTTTTCCTATTGGTAAAATGTTACAAATGTTAAGAAAGTCAATACTGTGCAGAATAGTAAGAGCACTTTAAAATATAGTATAAATATAGCTAATCAGTTTAAATATAGCTAATTGAATTAAATAAAAATGATAAATTAATAATATGTTATAAAAATAACACATTAAAATATAATAAAATGATGTAAAAAAAGTATTTCAAAAAGTCTAAAAAAAAGTATATTTTCAAAAAAAAAAAACATATAATCACAAAAGTTCACAAATATTAAAAAAGGTGCAAAATAATAATAATATAATAATAGTTTTATTCAATGTCCTTTGATTTTTTTAAAGACAATCTTATTTTATCTAATCTAACCAGAACGACCAGACACAGGAACAGTTTCTTCCCTCAGGCCATCCATCTCATGAACACTTGACAATAACCGTGGAACACACACTATTTATTCACTCATACACTTATTTATCTAACACTCATACTCAGCCTAAACCTCAAATTTGCACATAATATACAGTACCTGTACATACAAAAAAAAACTGTCTATTGTAATATACCTGCACACACAATTGTCCATTTATATATTTTTATTCCTTATTTACTTGTTCTATTTTTATTATCTGTGTTTTTTGTTCTGTCACTGTCATCTGAAAACAAATTCCTCGTATGTGTAAACATACCTGGCAATAAAGCTCATTCTGATTCTGATTCTGATTCTGATTCTAATCTTGTTATCACTAGGCTATTCTCATGCTTTGCCTCATTATGTCTGCAGATGGCAGTGCTCCATAAAGTTTCATGTGAAGGCCCTTACTGAGAGCACAGTCTTAACTTCAGTCTGTTTCTGCAGAAGAAACCTAATTATACACATTCCTTTTGAAACCAGAGCTCTTGACACATTAATGCATCATCAAAATATTTTTCGCTCATTAATATGACTTGTTTGTGCTACTGCTTACTAATATCTTGTGTTGTTAACATGCCTATTAGAAAAAGCATTTGAATTCAATCTGATTTTACATAAGGCAAAACTCACTTATCAATTAGGCTGTGACTGAATAGGTGTTTTTCGACAAATAAACAACTTAACAAACACAGCACGGTGACATGCGAGGCTAATTCAGAACAAACTCTTGTTTGAGGTGAACTTGGCGAAATTAGTGCGGCCTTCAAAGCAATTCAGCATTACATTTTTAACGGAGGTTTTGTTATTTCCTTACCCCTTATTATGTCACTGAAATGGCGACCTGGTGCCTTGAGGGCAATGAAAATAAAATAGGGGGAAAAAAAGAAGAAGAAAGACTCAAAGAAAGAGACATTTGAAAATGCGGCGTGTGAGAAGGGTGGGAACTGTGAGGAAGAAAGACTGGAATTGCTAATTGAAGCTTGATCGGGATGGGAAAGGTTTGTGAACGGGCTGTTAAAGATGTAAAATATAGTCTTCACTGTCGACTTTTAGAGATATTTTAAATCGTGTGACATGTATGATTCATACATAGTTATTTTAAGGATGAATGGGAATTTAGTTATTTTGGTACTTCATACAGGCCTACTGCACAAGTTATCTAAAGCTTCACTTCTCGACTGTCAGGGTGCATTTAGCTGATTTATAGATTTTTGCAGATAAATAGAGTAAAGTTTGTAACTTTGGTTAAAGTCTATGAAAGTTGAAAATAGTTGTATATGTCTGTTTAGATAAAAAATTTTGACACTTGGAGTTTTTGACTAGTCTTGGTTCATTTGAACATTCAATCATGTTAAGTCTATGGGATTTTTGGAAGTTTTGAGTCCAATCAGTTAGAAAATATAAACACTGTAAGAATAGACTAAAGGTGTGACCCGAGTTTGCTGTAGCATTAAAGCTCTAGGAGGAGATAGGCCTAGTGTTAATAGTTTTAGTCACATAATAAAAATAATAGTAATAACAAGGCTAAATCTATATAAACCTTTTAGTGTAGCCTATGTCAAAGGAACCATCACCATAGCAACTTCACAAAACATCCTCAACTGTAAGGTAACAGAGTCGGCAAAGATGATCGCACACATATACACACCATCCATACGGTTGGTTTCTGTCGAGATGTGTTGTTGATCCTATCCTGTGTTGTTTGGCAGTGGCACATTTTAACGCATTGTTTGTCTCACTCATTGTCTTCCTCACACTCACAGTTGCTGCAGTGTGAGCGCGCAGTATTTGCGGATTTTAAACTGTTGTCTGAGTGCTCCGAAACTAAGTGCGATTTGATGGACACTTGTTTGTCCACATTAGAAAACAACACTGCTTGTTTTCCATGATCTCCCACATCATTTTTTGAACGGCTGCCTGTATGTAGTTTATCCAAGATTTAACTTCTGGTAAAGATGCTTTAAAATGTAGAGGAAAAATTTATCCGAGGCACTGCCTATTTACAGCAGCATTTTTTGTGTGTATGACTGTGTATCTGCGCGTGTGTGCTGTGGTGGAACAGAATCCCACTGTGCTAAATGACCTGTGACTGAAGTCTTCCATGTCAACTCTATGATTCACACTGAGGCCCCACGTCACTGTGCACACACATGCTCAAATGAAGTCGGCTTCCTACCGATGCCATACCCGGGTCAATGAAAGCGCGAGCACACACCACCTATGCACGCGCGCAAACTGAGCACACATCAGAAATATTGTGATTCGATCATGTAGTGCGCAGGTATTTTCCTCAATGCATACAATTTGGTTTCCACCCTAGACGTTTGAGGAAAATGTCCTGCGACGTGTTGATCAAAATGATTACCATTTTGTGTTTCACCTCCAGTGTTTTGTTTTATTGGTACAGAAAGTGAGGGCGGACTCCAAACAAACAAACAGCCAAAGTGGGGGGGGGGGGGGGGGGG